TCAAAATACTTTAGAATGAGAGAATTGTAATTTTTTTTTTATTTCAGCATATTATGGGGGTACAGATGTTTAGGTTACATATGTAGCCCTTGCTCCCCACTCCCCCCCAAGTCCGAGTTTCAAATATGTCCATTCTTTGGGTGGTGCACATTGCACTCTTTGTGTATGCATGTACACGTCCCCTCCTCTCTCCGCCCCCCTGCCCAACATCCAATACACGCACACACACACATACCCTGTGATTAGGAGATGTTGAGCCATTAGAATAAGTGTGTGTGCTTAATCTTTCTGTACACTTGAATCATACAGGAGCTAATTAGAGCCATGATTGCTTTTTCCTAAATGAACATGTTCTTTTCTCTTTTCTTTTTTTTTTAGAATAATACTATGAAAATTTTTTGAATCTTAATTAGTACTGTACTGCTATGGTTGAGGCTACTTATAGCTGGTAGTGTACAAAGATAAAAAGGAAAAAGGAGGTGGGAAACTTAGGTATAAACATATTATGACCCCAAGCCCAAATTCCAAGATATCTAATCTAGAATGTCCTTGCTTTTTAATTAAATAAATAACGTGACATTCAGTAGTCCTATTGAGTATATGCAGTATAACTTTGTGTTCAGTCTCTAGTCCTTCATTGCTGTTCTTGGATTCCTATGTTTGTTCTGAAATTGCAAAGTGAGCTGGGATTTCATTGAAGCTAAAATTTCTGCCATCAATGCTGTTTCTGACATAATTTTGCCAGGATCAGATTTCTAATCTGCTGACTCTTCACAGAGTACACAATGGGATTCATCAGAGGGGGAACTAGAAGGAAGATATCAGCTATTATGACCCTAATAACTGGAGAAACATTCTTGGCAAACCAGTGAAGGGCCGCCAAGGTGATGATGGGCACATAGAAGATGAGCACAGCGCAGATGTGGGAGACGCAAGTGTTGAGGACCTTGAGGCGACCCTTGTGTGAGGCAATGCCCATAACAATTTTCAGAATCAACATGTAAGACACAGAAATGCATATCAAGTATAATACAGACAAAAGAGCCGCAAAAACAAAAACCCATAAATGATATTAACCCTGTTGTCAGAATAGGCCAACTTCATGACATCCTGGTGGAGGCAGTAAGAGTGAGATAAAAGGCTTTTCTTACAGAATTTCAGCCTCTTTAGGATAAAAGGGAAAGGCAAGACAACTGAAATAGATATTGCAGCAAATACAAGGCCAACTTTAATGACTCTGTCACTGGTGAGGATGGAGGTGTATCTCAAAGGGTTGTAGATGGCTATAAAGCGATCAACAGACATGATGAAAAGTACTGATGACTCCATAGCTGAGAATGCATGAATGAAAAACTCTTGGGCAAAGCAGGCATCTGAGGAAATTCCTGTGGCATTGAACAAGAAGATTCTCAGCATGGTTGGAAGAGAGGAGATGGACAGTCCCAGGTCGGAAAATGCCAGCATGGAGAGGAAATAATACATAGGCTCGTGCAGAGACGTCTCAGTTTTTATGAAACAGAGGATGGTGCAGTTCCCCAGGATGGCAACGAGGTACATGAGGCAAATGGGAATGGAGACCCAAATGTGAGCATGCTCCATCCCCGGGATCCCAATCAGGAAGAACACAGAGATTTCCAGTTTGGAGGTATTAAAGACTGACATCTCAGGAATATGAGGAAATCAGCATGTGGGTCTCAGAAGAGGCTTCCTGCAATGGCATAAATAAATTGGCTCAAATGAATATTCTTTGGTCATTTGGTTGGTATGAATCTTGTGATTCCACCTATTACCCTATAATAATTCTTAGGACTAAAGCAAAGTATTTCATAAAATATAAACAGTACTAATGGTAAGACCTAGGTAAGTAAGAGGCCAGGAAGGACTTAAAATATATATTCATCCACAGAAGTAATTTTCCAACAGATAGATATATTCCAAATGCCATTTCTGGACTCAGCAGACAGGAAGGAAGTAGTAGAATTTTCAGTCTCTATTTCTTGGAACATATTTTGTTAGGACAGTGAAATTCTAACCTTGGAAATTGGATGGGTAAGTATAGGATCACATAAGGACATCCGCATACTACAACTGCATGTATTGTTATCAAAGACTATTAACCTTAAGAAGCTGTATTATTTCAAAAATTTGGCCAGGAAAACTTGATATCCACATCTAAGAGAAAGAAGTTGAACCCTACTTCCCACCTTACATAAAAATTATCTCAAAATATTCTATAGACATAAGTGTGAGAACTAAAGCAATAAACCAAAATGACATACCACTTCACAAATATAGAAATGCTTAAATAAAAAAGAGACAAATAACAACAATTGTTAACAAAGATGTGGAGGAACTTGAACCCTTATGCATTGCTGAAGGGATTGTACAATTGTTTACCCACTTTGTTCTTTTTTTAAATTTTTAAATTTAAAACATTGTATTGTATCTTAAAATAATTAAATTTATTGTATATCAATAATATAGCAATGAAATTGTTATAAAATAAGATAAAAATGCATCACCAAATACCCTTACGTTTCTCTTATATACCAGACAGACATACGGAAATGGATATTTTGTCTTAAGAATATCCATCTGGAGACCTTGCTATGTTGTCCTTGTCTGACTGCTACTGAGGGAATTTTTAGGTTGAGATGGCTGACCACCCACTTTAGAGTCAAAGGAATATGAATTTAGGTTCCAAACATGGAACATAAAATAGAATAGCCTACCTGGGGTCACTTTTAAACTGGATTCTGTCAAACCAAGGAGAGAGTGAGCAGAAGAATGAAGGGATGAAGATTAGCCAACTGAAGAAGAGGGCATAGCTCATCAATACAGTAGCACTGAGAGGTTTCAGGAGGTGGTCTATGAAGATTGCAAAGGGGTTGTCAAAATAGAGGCAACTTTAAACATCTACTAGACTTGAAAATCCTGAAGCCATCAAATGACAAATAAGAGCATCTCTGCCTCTACTTTCTCTTGCTTTGCTCTAATTCTTGAGGAATAAGAACATCTAAATTAAGATATACCTACTTAAATATCAGGTGTCCTCCTGCTGTTTTTTTGTTGAAAGCAAAGCAAATTTACTGAAGATAATGTGTGCACATCACTATAAAAACATAAATATTTCAAAATATTAAAGGATGAGCAAATAAATGTACAGTTAGCAAATGTGTTTTGCTTTCACATCAATTGTTGCTCACTAGGAAATTGGTATTATCTTGCACATTGGCTTCCAGGTCAATTGCTTATCATAATGCCATGTTCTTTTGTCTTGACTTCTTTTGTCCTCTCATTTGATGAAACGGACTTATTGATTTATTTTGTTATTTAACAAGTTCAGAACTTGTCTATTGCTGATTCTTTCCTAAATATTTTTACGTGCTTGTGTCTTCCCTGTTTCTCATATATATACATGTATATATATGTATAATTTTTAATTTTCCTTTCTTCTATATCTATTCTCTCCTTTCTAACTTACCATTCATAAATACAGCATATGCCTGCTGCGTTTTTGAGCTGCTATCTCTGTGTCTGCTTCTCTTGAGCTTTTAAATTGTTTTCCCTGAGTTAAACTATTAATACAATTCCTTAGGTTGAATTCTTAGTTTGATTTCTGTCTCTAAGTTGCTTATCAGAGGTTTAGTGATAAACCACAGCAAAATAAAGTTTCGAAATAGATGGACAAGAAATAATAGGATAACTAGCAGAGAAATGGGGATTTCTTGACGCAATTAAAAAACACACAGGATAAAAATAAAAGCATTACAAGCAATTTACTGAATGGCTACCACATTTGAGTTTGGAACACACACCACTAGCATCAAAGGAGGATGTATATGTCCACAGTTATTACAAAATGTCTTTGTGCTGGGTGTAAGATGTGTCTTCCTCTAGGAAGAGTCTGATCATCTGTCTACTCTTAAGAAATCTCAGAAAAATATTCCGTGTAAAACGCCTCGATTGAAACACTGATCACTGCCCTCGGTTCTGGGAGACTGTATACACTTTAACCTTCAGAACATCATCACTCCCCCACTTGAGTCCTCTGTTGCTTCTAGATGGGTCTATCATCCCCTAAACACACCAGAAAGCTTCTCACTTCCATACCGTTGCTTCAGAAGATGGTCTGAAATGGCTCATGTGGGAATTGATATTATCTCATTAAGTGGCGTCTAGTTCAATTTTTTATTATGTTGCCTGTTCTCTTTTCTTGTCCTCTATTGACCTCACATGTTGCAAGAGTCTTATAGATTTTGTTTTTCTATATAATCAGCATTAACTTTTCTACTGTTGACTCTGTTTTCTAAACATATATACCCAAAATGCTTTTCTTCTTGTCTCTCTCTCTCTCTCTGTGTCTCTCTCTCTGTTAAACATATTTGTGTATGTATGTCTGCATCTTTCTCCTATATCCTTTCTCTTACCTCTAGACACACAATCCATAAACTGCAACAGATGCTTGCTGTGTTTCTGAGCTGTTACTCCTGTGACCACGTCTTTTGAGTTTTTGAACTTGTATCCCTGAGTTTAATTCCAGCTCCCCAGGTTGAATGCTCTGCTTACTTTAACTTCGGCCTCCAAATTTAGTAATAGATATATCCGCAGAAAAATTAAGTTTTGAAGTAAATGGGCATGGCATCATAGGTTAAATAGTGCTGAGCAGAGAGGAAGTTCTAGATGCAATTAGCACATAGGAAGAAAATAAAAACCTTAAAACAATTGATTGAATGGCTATTACATTCATGTGTGGGAGGCACTTACCAGTAGTATCAAAGGCGATCATGTCTATGTACAGTTTTTACAAAACGCCTGTGTGCTATGTGTCAGACTTGTTTTCCTGTAATGTTAGTTTGATTATTCTGTGTTAAGAAAGGCCAGCTTTCAACATTTAGGGTTTTACTCTTTTGGGATTGTGATTTTGGGGATTTTAGACTTTAGGAATTTAGACCTTAGAGATGTTGATCTTTTGCTATTTCAGCATTCAGGATTATGCCATTTGGGATTGTATCTTTTGAGATTATGATCCAAATCCATCTAAAAAAATGTATGCAGTAATTTTCTATGGTACCTGTCTGTACATAACACTATAAATTATTTTCCTTTAATATAAAAGAACCTAAGACAAATTTGACATTTTCCATATTACAAAACTTGAGCAAGGTCTGCTGTATCTGCTGCTTAGAGTGCTGTGTTTTTGTTGTTTGTTTGTTTCTAGTTTATCTACTAGTAAACACAGATTAATCCTCAAATCCTTGGTCAAAGTCTTACTTTGTAATAGGAGTAGCAGCAACCCAGTGTGTAGTGCTCTCCTTGATACTATCGCTGCTTTGTCTCTTCCCTCTAGATTCTCAGAATCACATATAACCAGATATCATTTTTATTAATATAGAAACCAAAATACACTGAATGAATTAAAATTCATACTCTTAATTGCTGGTATTTAAATTAAATGATTAAATGGAATTTATATAAGACCTACTCCTATAATATTACTTAAAAGCTGTGAACTCTTAGAAAGATTTTTGTTAGAATTTTAAGGTTTCTTTCTTGTTTATTACATTAACTGCCACATGAGTTGTATTGAACTCATGCTAGTTTTGAGCCCAGGCCCTAGTGAAGCAATCCTGGGCCAAACCCTGCCATTGGTTAGTGAAAATCTTACTTATTAAAGTTCTTATTATTGCAATTAAGATGGACAAATTAATTATAAACATGTGGGTTAAGTGAATAGTAGTGAAAAAATTTCATTTTTCATTAATGTTTTTATTAAATTAGAAAGGATTGTTTTGTTTTTCAAGTTTTTATTCTATTTTCATAATAAAACACTGTGGCCCCAAGGAAAAAAAGTTGTTTCTTGTGCAGTAGTCAATGTGTTATCAAGAGAAGAAAACTATAAAGCAAACACTTAAACCTAATCAAAAGCATGCTCAATTTGGTCAGACTAGAGAGACAGAAACTCCTAGTCATCACTATTGCTCTCTCACAGTGGTCTCATATCCCCACCCCAAAACAACTTATACCAACATGTAAGGTATAATTCTACCATTCAGTTACGAGTTCCAAGAGCTGTGTGCAGGTACTTGGCTTTGAATTTATTTCTGTGCTGAGACAGTGATTTTGGATTATCACTTGGTTGATTTCCAGGAGCTGGCAGAGCTCTGGATTTCTACCCTACATTTACATACATTGTTGGACTTTTTAAAGGCTCGGGGTTCTGGTATCCTTTCTAATCACTTGGAGAACAGAGCATTACAATAAGCATGTGAATTACTTGCTTGAGCTGGTGCAAAGGCAAGTGTGAACGTTAGGAAATTTACCAATAAGTGGGTAGGTAGTTGGACCCACATGTCAAAGTCAAGAGGAAATAGAGATGGAATCCCAGAGTTTCACTGTTGTGGAAGTGCAGCAATTTATCCTGATCTGAAAAGTCTAATCCTCCTTCCAGATGCTTTCCCATTAACTGAGAAAGCTCTGGGGATTCCAACTCAGCTGAAGGTACTTAGAGGAAAATAAAAGTCCCTTCTGGTGAATTCTTAACTGTCTCTGAAAGCAAGGAGGATCATAAAGTCCCACATAAGGGGGAATAATTAACAATTTGTCAACAATCCCTTTTAAGCTTCCTATGCTCTCTCTGGCAGAATTATGATGCCATGATCCCAAACACCATCTGAATAATCTTACAGCAGATTGATAGTGTAACTATGTTCTGCTTCTTCCACCAGAATTAACTTTCTTAAAATTACAAGTTTCTCATTTTACAAATCAAGAAGGCTTTGAAAATTTAATTTGAATCTAGCATCTTTGAGGTTGGTGGTTTTCAACTGGATCTTCAACCCATACTTTAGTATAGAGTTTTATATTATAAATTACAAATGCCTGGGCCCTATTCCAAATTCACTGAATCTCTTTACTCAATATGCCTTGTATATTCTTGATATTTTCTTGGTATATTGTGTATATCATTTCTCATGATTTATATCATATTTCAAGATTGTTCCCATTGTAAGAAAGGTGATTATTCACTTTCAAATATCAGATGTAACCTTCAATGTCCTTAAACAAAGGCTTTATGATTATCCTTGGCGATGTTTTGTTTAAAATTTCTTTTTCCATAATGGCTTTATTATCATGTTTTGCATATCACCAATACAATTAAATTTTCTTACCAGTTGCATTATACTTGTCATCAAAATCTGTACATTAAAATATATCATTAATAAATTGACCATGGCTTCTTAAAGAGAGACTTAACTCTCTTTAGCTAACTTAACTATGTTAAGACTATGCATAGTTTTTGTTTCATTCTGTTGCATTCCTGGAATGTCCTCAATCACTAACAGGCCAGAGTTTTATGTTTTCAACAGAGAAGAACCCTGTCAGAGCCTGTGGAAAGGACTATACTAGCTACTTCAAAATTCAAAGGTAGACTCATGGGTATCTTACAGACCCTCCAGTAGGCTGAGTCATGATTTCCAGGAAGCTTTTTAGTCAAGAGGTGGGTAAATCCATGAAACTATCAGCTCAAAATTGAGCAGAGTAACAGTTATTTTCACATGACTAAATCAACAGATGAAGAACATTATATTGTGTTTGTTTGGAATATTGCTTATGTTGTTTTATGTTCTATTATCTTAATATATAAGATCCTTCTCTTTTTTCTAAGCTCTCTGTAGCCCATAATAATCTAGTAGATGCTGCTTTTTGAAAACTGAAATGAAAAATTTTGAAATCAGTGCGATTTTCATTGAATCTTCAGAGTTCACAAGATTTTACCAAGTTTCCTTGGTTTTTATGACATACTATTTACAAAGTTGCAACAAGAACCTGCCTTCTTGTTAACTATGATATAATTAAAAAATTGATTATCCAACCAAGATCTTTCCTGAAATATGATAATGGATAATGTTTAATTACACGACTAGCCACTTTTGAGGAACTACAGTTGATTGTGTGGATCCAATGCTGACAGTTTATCTTCCAGGTAAACTGGCCTGGTACCTTGCTTATGTAGTTCAGCCCTGAGAGTGATAAGGAAGATCACATCCAGGCAGGCCACGATACTTGGGACATTTTGAGGACCCTGAGAAAAGAAAATATTGCACAAAATATAGATATCTGAAGGCATAATTTGATTGACAGAGTTTCTTGAACTGAGCTTCCTAGACTAGGTACAGCATATAATAGTGTCCTTTAAATGTCTAATTTGAGATTCCTTACAAAAACCTATAATAAAGTTAAGAAGGCCTGTATGACAAATTAGCATTTTTTGCTACCCTTCTGTAAATATTGAAGCTAAATTTAATGAGGAAAGTCTTATTTTGTGGTCAAGAATGGTCTATCTTTGAGATTTTTTTTATTATTAAAATGTAGATACTAAAGGGAAAAAGTTGTGCTTCAGTAGAAAATTATGCACTGTTTAAGGCATACCCTTTCAGGTTATGATTCCAAATACATGGGAACTTTGTGCTTTCATTGCCTTTGAGATATTTTATAATTCTATAAGTTGTATTTATTTACAAGAATCAAAGTAATTCATGTATGAAGACATGCAAATAAACTCTGTCTGGTAGGAGTTCACTTGGTTTCCTTCTACTGTGGGAGTTGTCTATTTCGGTATTCATAGGCAAATTCACATCAATATTCCTGTCTATGAATATGTCTGTTATGTGGATTCCCCTTTGAAGTAACTGTAGTATTTACCACAGTCCCTCATTAGAACAATGAAGTAAATGAGATCTTTAATGCATGTTCATTTTATATCTGTGTGAGAACCATGATTTTACATTTTTATGGAAATTAGTCTTTTACAGGGTTTACATTCTTGCATGGGATAGACAAAAAAACATGTGCAGTATAATCAGTTATGGGTTAGTGTTAAAGGCAAATTATTCATGACACTTATTAAGGAATTTTAAGGAAGATTTACTCAGAGTGATTGTGGCAATAGGTGTGGGGAGGCTACTCCAATGTAGTCTTACAGTAGGGGAAAGAGATTAGACTGAACTTCAAATACAAAAGGAAAAGTAGGAACTTATAACCAAGAAACAGAGTAGTGATAGTGAGAGGGAGAGTTGATGGTTGATATATGGCAGCCCCACTTCTGTA